TGCAATGTGCCAGAGTCTGTCCTGAAAAGACAGATGAACCTGGGATTGGAAATAATGTTTTATCTATAAGGCTATTAAATCACACAGTGTGGTGACCTTAAAGTTATTGAGAATCCTTTTGGAAAAGAAAGAATAGTCTATTCTAGAAAGATAAAGAGCTTGCTGCTATACCAATTGGAAGGAAATATAGCCCCAACTTTCCTGATCTAGATCATACTAAATTTATATAAATGAGTGCCACACATTACATATATACTAATATAGTACCAATAACAATGCTCAAGAAAGATGCCATGAAAATGACAAATAAAATTAGCGATGATAAAATAAAAGGTTTAAATGGTTAAGCTCAAGGATTCTAGACTCGGATTTAATACTTGCAAGGCATTTAAGCATTCTATGTGTTATATTACAGAGTGGTTAAAATCAAATGAGTTCAAGTTCCCTTAGCCCAGATTGCTAACTAACTTAGAATAGTTTTTGGTACCTAATGGCATGATGATTCTGTGTTAAATAAAATGTCACTTCTAATGAAATGTGAACTTTAAGAGAATACCCTTAGCAGAACAACGCTATCTTCATCACTCACAGCAGAACCTGGAACAGGAGACTTGGACCATGTTTGATCACTTTTTAAAAAAAGTTTTCCTTTTTATTAGTTCCTTTTAGTTATATATAGTTCTAGAGCTTATTTTGACATAATTATTACAAGCATGGAATATAATTTGTTCTAATTCAGTCCTTAGGCCTTGCCTTTTCCTTTCCTTTCCCCCCCTCTTCCCTTCCCTCTCCTTTAATGATATTTATGTTATTTTTACAGGGTTTTTTGTTGTTGTTTGGGGGTTTTGTTTTTGTTTGTTTTTAATTAGTGCCTTGTGGATGAAGGTAAGATTCACAGGGCGGGGGTGGGGGGTGGGGGTGGGGTATACTCACATAGGTACATAGGAAAGTTTTGTCAGATTCATTCCCTTTCCCATTCTTCCTCCTTCCCTCTGAATCCCTTTCCTCTAGTCCACTGATCTCTCTTCTGTTTTGTTTGAGCATTTTTTTCTACTGCTTATCGAATGCTCACAGGAGGCTTCCTTTTCCATCTGGACTTTTTTTCTCTGTTAGCAAAATTCTCAAAAAGGATAAAAAAGCAAATTGAGCAAGAAGCCTGAGTCCTGATTTTTTTCTTTCCCCTCCTATCTTCCACAGAGTTGAAAAAAGACATTAAACAGGGATGAGAAAAGGGGAGGGGAGGGGAGGGGAGGGGGGATAGTAGAGAATAGGACAGACAGCAGAATACATCAGACACTAGAAAGGCAATATGTCAATCAATGGAAGGGTAACTGATGTGAAACAGCAATCTGTATACGGGGTAAAGTTGGGAGTTCATAACCCACTTGAATCAAACTGTGAAAGATGATGTATTAAGAACTGTGTAATGTTTTGAATGACCAACAATAAAAAAAATTAAAAAAAAAAAAAAAAGAAAAGAAAAAAGACAGAAAGAAACAGGACATTTTTGTCTGCTAGACACTCCTAACACATATCAATTCCTCACAGAACAGAAAAAAAACTATAAACAAAAAGGGAAATGCTAAATTGTTCTTGTGTGTTTTCTCCTGTACCACAAGAAAATTGTTGCAAGATTTATACTTAATGTTGCAAGACTTAAATTGATGTGAACATTCCACACTGAGAATGCTATCATAAAGAGGAATGTAGCTCCAGCACAAATAAAGTTTGTTTGCTGGCTTTCCTCAAGAGAAAAGGAAATGGAGGCAAAAAGAAGCCTCCTCTGAGAGGGAAATTCAGAAAGTATTTTTTTTTTTTTTTTTTTTTGCCATGCATGGCAACCAGAGAGAGCTGTGTGTTAAAATTCACACATCTTGCCAAGAATGTCACCCGCTTTGTGGTAAAGGCTATTGAAAAGAAAAACCAGTGCATTTAAAATAGGAATGTTTTCAGTTCCACATACGTAATATATTAGCAGCTTATTTGTTACCAGAAAACACCTTTTTTTTTTTTTTAACCTTCCATGCACATTGACATTGAAAACTTATAGAAGACAATAGCATCATTTTATAAAAAGAAAAGAATACCTGTTCTTTAAAATAGAAAATCTGATTCTAGAACACTAGAAAAAAATTTTCAGCTTGCTTTAGTCTCCCTCTATGTGAAACATAAGATTTTTTAAAAATTTTCAATATGTAGTAATAGTTATTGAGAAACTGAATGCTTAGACATAGGTCATATAAATATTAGCCTTCTTTGTTTTTCTAGTGAGTATGTTTTATCTGATGAAAGGTCACTTGATCAAGATGTTGACCTTTAAATAATGGAAGCTATGATTAAGACTTCAGAAAGCATTCTGTGAGACTGAAAAAAAAAACAAAACCCTTCCAATCATGATGAAATCTTCATGGTCCCCCATGTTACCGCCACTTCTAAATAACCATTCTACTATGGTTATCTAAGCTTGTATCTTATTAGTAAAAAAAAAAAAAAGAGCTAGATAAAATAAGTAACATAATGATTCTGGTACTCAAGTTTGTAAGAGTATATTTATTCTGATATTCATATGAAAATCCAACCAATTTGAAAGAACGGAATTTTCCTACAGATGGAGTCAGCTTGCTTATGACTCTTAAATTCCTGAAAACCCTTTCGTTGTAACTGCATTGCTTAACACAAATTTATTTTAATCTGCAACATATTTCAAGTTTGTTGCTGTTTAATGTTATTGTTTAATTAATCTCTGTTTAAGTCTGGGACTTTCCATAAATCAATTTCCAGAAAGCATTCTCCTCAAATTACTTCATATCCTGCAATGAAGAATGTAGGAAGAAGAAAGAACTCTTCTTGAGTTCCAAGAATAGGAGTTCTAGTGGTCTCATGGATACAGTCAACCTACTACATCTTCCAGGGGAAAAAATATGGAAGCAAGACGTGCATTATTCATTTCTTCCTAAATTATGCTTGATAGCAAATCGCCCCTAAATCTGCAGAGCTTTTACTAGCAAAGGGAGCATCTCAATTCCCTTCATGTATTGGTGCTCCATTTAATCATCTTGTGATCCAGTTTGAAAGAACAGCCCTTATTGCAAACTAAATAATCATCTAGCAGAAAAACTGGACAAGAATTATAGAATGTAAAACTGAATAACTGTCCATGAAGTCCATAAAAATTTTACTCAGCTGTCACTTGTATTTACTTCTATTAATTATATTTGCCCAATTTGCTAATGTAGCAAAATCTGGTGCTAACGGGGAAGGAAATACATTCTTCTCACTGGAAACCAAGGAGAGACCAGAGAGCAGGGCAGAAAACATCCTCAAATAAATGATATAATATACCACAGAAAGGATAGGAAGACAAGTCAAGTATTTCCCCCTTATCCCTGACATATATCTAATTGTTCCTGCTTCCCTAGGAGATGGATTAAAAACAAACAAAAAAAATCTTCATTTAGAAATTGAAAAAAAAAAAAATGAGACACTTAATGGTTTCAAAAACTGAAGATAAGTTATTCATGTATGTCTTTGACTTCAAACTCTTAATACGGGCTTCTCACTCCTACTCCTGCCTTCATCTCTCCCTAGTTCTCTCTCTCAGAGTCTACATGTTCTCTCACCTCTATTCTCTTCATCATTCGCCTTGAACTAGCTTTCTTCACATCATTATCTTGAACACAACCATTATGGTGTTGTGTAGGCCTTCCCTGCACACTCTTTCATTGAGTCTAGCCGTCATGTCTACTTTTTTTCCATCTTATTTCAAGTTTTCAAGAAAGGAAATCTGATGGGTACAATTTATGTCTACCTCAGGAAAGCCTACAAAGCCTCTATCTGCAACTACATGAGTGAGAGGGGAACATGAGTCATGGCTGAGGGGCTGGACATGAGGCAACAATATAGTCGGTGCTAATGTTATAAAATTCAGAACATAGGAGAGGAAGCATCATGGGAAGGATTTAACCCCTGTGCTTTGAATTCAGGCTGCATCATTTGAATCACAGCCCCATACACAGGACCTCGCTTCTTAGACCTTTGCAGTGAGCATACAGAACAGATCTTCAGGGTCTAATTGCGAGAATTAAATAAAGCAATTAAATTGCACACAAAGGGAAAGATTACCTCTGGCTCAAAGGTGAAAGGAAATAAGTGAGAAAGTTGAAAAGTGCAAAGAGAATCTGAGATGGAGAAAACAAGGAACTGGGGGTTAGGGGCTCAAATGACTTCAGCATTCAAAGTGAAATTAGATTTTGCCATTTTATCAAATCTCCAGTGATCTTAGCTTGTTATGACCATAGTTCCATTAAGGAAATACCAAGCATTAATCTCAATGGTAGAGATTTATAACAGCACAAGGCTGAGTAACTTCTCTAAATATTTACATATTCTGTAAAAATGATAATATGAACAACAGCAATAATTATAGTACTTATTGCAGGTTTGCTATGTGCTGAGGCTTGCCTTTTAAGTTCTTTCCACATTTTAATCCATTTAGTATGTTTATCAAGCCTAGGAATTATTATCATTATCATTTTAGACCAAAAGAAACTGAGGCAGAGAGAATTTAAATAACTTGGCCAAAGCTGCAAAGTAAGCAAGTAGCCAAAGAGGGTTCATAGCCTGACATTTTGATTTGGCAACACATTATCAAGTGACCTTGGATAATCCATATATATATATATTTTTTTTTTTTCAGAACTGTATTGACAGTGTGGGTGAAATTATTTGAAGAAGATAAGAAATCAGCTGCAAAAAGAAAGATCACTTATTAACAATGTAATGATAAATATATAAAGTTAAAAAAATCCTGGAAAGCAGGAAAAAAAAGTTATTTAAAAATTCCTGTAATGTCTGAAACAGTGCAAACTGTTTCCTTCATTTGTTTCTTCACAATGGGGGCGGGGGTGGGGGGACAGCTGGCTTTTGAAGAGTTTGGCAAAATGAGACTAAATAGAGTCAGAGCTAGCATGACCTAACAGGAAGCCAGGCTACTCCCAGCTGGTGATCTCTGAAACAGACTCCAAGGCTCCCTCTCTCTTCCTAAACACACAGTGACTTTGGGCTGGATAATTCTCCAATTTACCTCACTCTTTCCCTGCTAGCAGGATCAGATTGCATTTCTTTCAGTATTCTCCACTTCCCACTTTCTTGATCTGTTTAAAAGAAGTGAAGAAGTTAAGTCCTCTTTTCAATACCTGGAAGGGAAAACAAAATAGCCTCAAGTCCGTTTTGAAAAAATCTTTCCAAGAACTTTCGTCAGAGATTTTACTCGTGAGTACCTGGGAATATGCTGTCTAGCCCATGAGAAATAACTTTTAATTCTTTTTCTTGGGGGAAAAGCAGGCGAGGAGGACGGGGAAAGGAGAACTACCATCTCTTCCTTTAAAATGAAAATCAACTTTTCCTCAGAAACAAAGCAGACTCATGTTACAATGCAAAATTCAGATCTTAGCATTTGCCTTTAGTTCTTGAGCAAATATATGAGCAACGTTTGTTTATGTGTATCAGATCATGAACACTGTTGTGAGCAGTTGATGAGGTGCAGTTTCTCTATTATTTTAAAATTGTAAATGAATTCTTTAGTAATTGTATCTGGTTATAAAATTTTATTTACTAACATATAAAGAACTATAATATCAACCATCTATCATCTCCTGTTTAAAGAATTTTTTTTACATTGCTATTAGTTGGTGTTTTTTAAAAGGAAATATAAACATTATAATTCTTATAACCTAAATCAAATATTTTTGCCTTCATTAACTAATCACTATGGAAATATTTTTATTTGGTTTCTAAGATACTTAATTATCTAAGGCTCTCTCATATTCTAAGATACTTAAATAAGAATATTTATGATCAAATCTATATATAATCATAAAAAACCTAAATATCATAAAATTGTGTCAATTGAAGCAACAGATTACATGCTTACATGAGTATTGTCTGTTCCTTTTGGTTATGAAATGATATTAAATTATGCTTCTGGTAGTAAAGAAAAGCCCAAAATATAACAGCACACATCCACAGGACTACAATGTGACAAATAGTTATTTAATTACCGAAAGAGCTCATTTGTATAAAAGAATTATCAGAAAATGAGAAACAAGAACAGTCTCTTTTGGGAAAAAAAAAAAAAAAAAGATAAGCAACAGCCACACTGTGACTCAGTGCTCTGGAAACTGGTCACAAAATGACTTTGTACAATATGAGATAACATAAACCCAAGGAGCAAAACCCAAGCAGGAAACATAGCCCAGAGAGTTATATTTTATATGTAAAGGCATAATGGTTATGTCAGAGAGGGAAAATTGTGACAGTATTAAGATATTACAAAGTTTTCAGACTTGACAAAATCATTTCATAAATCATTTTAAGGATTCTTTCTAATATATCATTCCAGTGCATGATTGTTGGATGTCATATTATTTGTATCTTGCCTAACTTTTGGCTCTGAAAAATTAGATGAAATGCAAATTTGGGGACTATGAATTAACAAAATGATATAAAATATTATTAACAGGATCAATAGAGACTTGCAAATATTATTGCAAATATAGATAGCTAACATAATAACACGAAGTCTTAAAGCAAGAGTAAATATTTAAATACTTTCAATAATTTGAGTATTATGTTGGGAAACCAAATTTGTCTTCTTCAGATGACCATGGAACATTGTTGGGACACTTTGGTGACACATGTGTCCTCTATCAGATATGATGAACCAGACACGCTTATTTTGGTTCCCTGTGTTTCTCTTATCTGTAAGCATTTGCTTTACTGCCAATAACATGATCAAAAGTGAAAAGTGAAGGGAAGTATTCAAAGTAAAATTTTCAAACACTCTTAGGAATAAAAACTTTTTATATTAATTTGTTAGTATATTTTAAAAATTAAATTATAATATATAGATTAAAATGGCTTAATTATGTCATTATAATTGGTTTTTTTTTTTTTTTGCTATGTAGACAAGATTTAAGAGTTGTACTACAGGGGCTGGGGATGTGGCTCAAGCAGTAGTGTGCTTGCCTGGCATGTGTGCGGCCCGGGTTCAATCCTCAGCACCACATACAAAAACAAAGATGTTGTGTCCGCCGATAACTAAAAATAAAATATTAAATTCTCTCTCTCTCTCTCTCTCCCCCCCCTCACTCTCTCTTAAAAAAAAAAAAAGAGTTGTACTACAATCCAACTCATCTAGTTTTCTAATAATCATCTTCCCCAACCAACTAACCTCCCCTTTTTCTTTATTGTCTTCCTAATTTAACTCATTTAGGTAAATTAAATTGATGGGTTGCCTTTTCATATAAAAAAGATATTTTTGAATACTCAGCATCAAAAGTAGCTTCTGCTACCTTTTATAGAAATATCTGAACACTACATTGTTTTTATATTGTTGTTGCCTTGTGCACTGGGAGAAATATGAATTCTATTGTCATGAAGTTTGTATCAAAGCCCTTGTTTCTGGGTGTCCAATATCACAAAAATGAAAAAGTGCACATTTTCCCAGTAAGTTCTTTTCAGATTAGAGCATTGCTCCCTGAGATTCTTGATGCTTTCTTGGTATTACATGTGTCTACTCCAGGGACTCATTATTCTTGTCTTATCTTCACATCTCCAAGTGATGTGTCATGCAGAACTAGAACCTAGGATTCAGTTGCCAAAAGCCTGAGGGCAACATGGTCATAGCCACTTTCCTTCTTCTTCAAACCATCAATTGCAGAAAGAAGTGGTCCCATGTCAAATTCACTGTTTTCAGCTCTCTCTGACTTCTCTTTGGGATCCTACATCCTCTGTTAGTTGGAGTAATTATATTTTAAAATTGTTTTAAAACAAATAAGAGGATACCATGAACCACAGAAGAAGTCCCAATGTTGCAGTAATTCTATCTCAGTTGTTTTATCTGGTGGAATAGATCTCTGTAGAGATTTGAATTTACTGCCAACAATTTCTCAATCAATCCAAACGTGATTGAAAAAATATTGTGTATTTTTTATGAGCATGAGAAGTTGATTTCAATACTGAGAATGTGAACACATCCATCAGTAGGCATTGATAAAAATGTATGTTTTTATTACCATATGTAGTGTGCACTAGCAGCCCTATACTATACTACACACCCTTGGTGCTACCATGCTCTGCTTCCAACCTCATTTGAGCTTCCCTCCAATGCTTTTTTACCATTGAAACTTTGAACTCCAAAATAATTTGCCTAACAACATCATCTCCTTCCGCATTTCCCAATATTTAAAAATGGAGTGAATCTCAGAAATAGCATGGTTCTCCAGAGTAATGGTGTTTGTTGAAAATATTTTGATAATATTTTTGAAGTCCATTTAGGTTGCCTTAAAGTCCCAGATTAGTTTCATCCCAGATAAATGGTTTTATATAAAAATGTCACGTGTTTGTTATCACCCTTTCTTGTGCTACTGATTTCAAATATGCCCAATGCAAAGGAATAAATTTCTAAAACATGAGACATGACTGAACCTTGAAAACATTAGGATCAGTGAAATAAACCTGATATAGTAGGACAAATAGTGTATGATTTCACATACATGAATATCTAAAATTGAGAAATTCATAAAAATAGAAAGTAGATTAGAGGTTACCAGGGACAGAATTAATGGTGAATAATTGCTTAGCAGGTACAGAGATTCTGTTTGGTGAGATGGAAAATTTGGAAACAGATATTGGTGATGATTTCATAGTATTGTGAATATAACTAGATATACTTAAAAATTGTTAAAATGGCAGACTTCATGTTATATCTCTCTTACCAGAATAAAAGACTATTAAAAATTTTATTAATTAGAATTGAGAATTCTAGATTGACAATAAATCTCTTCATATTTTCTTAATTAACATATTAATAAAGTACAATTATTTTAATGTTGATTGCCTGAATAAAGATGAATGCAAGATCTTCTTGCTGGAATTTGGAACATTTTTACATCACATTGTTACATTCATAATTTCTTTTTTTCTGGTAACAATATCAGGGTAATTCTGCCCTAATGGAAGGCTTGGCAAGAATTCCCTCCAATCTCTTAAATTTTCTGGAGGAGTTCCTATAAAATTGGAAATATTTCTCCTTAAAATTTTTGATAAAATTCACTAATGAAGACATCTGAGGTTGGAGTTTTATTTGTGGGAAATTTGGGAAAGTACATAATTTAATTTTAAAAAGTAATTACAGGACTATTCAGATCATCTATTTCTTTTTGAGTAAGCTTTTTAAATCATGTTTTGTGTATTTCCAGGAATTTGTATCTTTCATCTGGTTTGCCAAATTTATTGGTATAAAGTTAATAATATGTATTAATGTAGTAATACAAACTTCTAGTTGCCAAGTTTATTAACTTGAGCCTTTTGCTTTTGTTGTCTTTTTTTCCTTCTCAGTCTACCTAAAGGTTTATCAAGTTTGTATATTTTGCCAAAAAGCCAATCTTTAGCTTCATTGACTTTATTTTATTTTTATTTCATTGATTTTCATGCTGATTTCTGTTATTTCATTACTGAATATTTCTCCCTAAATATTTATTTAGCAATGTTTTAATATGTTATGTTTGTATTCAGTTCAAAATATTCTATAAGTTCCCTGTGATTTCAGCATAGATCCCCATAAGTTATTAAGAAAAGTATTATTTTGAAGTGCTTTGGTATTTCCACAAATATTTCAGATAGCTTTCTTGTATTTTTTTTTTACAATTTAATTTTATTAGTTTAAGGGTATATACAATTTGAATGATACCTAGTTTAGTAAGACTCATTTTATGGCCCTGAATAGTATATAATTTGACAAATGGCTGTATGCACTTGAGAAGTACATGTATTATGCCATCGTGGAATAGAATATTTTATAAAGGTCCATGAGATCAAGTTATTTCATAGTGCAAACCAAATATTCAATGTCTTCATGAAATATTTTTGCCTACTTTTCCTTCTGAATATTGAGTCATAGTTACTTAAATATCTGAATGTCATTCTGTATTTATCTACTCTTCTTTATATTGTCAGTTTTTACTTCATGTGATTTGAAGCTCTGATATTGGGTATCTAGACATTTAGGATTGTTTTGTCCTCTTGATGAGTTTCCCCATCACTGTAAAACTGCTGTCTTTATCATCCCTTGCTCTAAATTTTTATTTTAACATACCTAACCTAGGATTCTTTTGATTGGTGTCAACATGGTAAAATATTTTGTATTTTTCACTTGTGTTTTCACATAAAAATTTGGGTTTTTTTTAAGGCAATATGTAATTGGTTCTTGC